GATGGTGATGGCAGAAGCAGAAGGTAAGACCTGAGGCTTGGAACTGGCACATAATCACTTTTTCCTCAGTCTGGTGGCCAAAGCAAGTCAGATGACTGAACTCTGTTGTTGGGAAGGTACCGCAGAGTTGCATGGCAAATGGCATGGATATGGGAAAGGGTGCAGAATTGGGATCATTAATGGAAATCTATGAGAAAAAAGTAGAGTGGTAATAATGAGGCAAAGTATTTGCAGAAAACTGTGTTCTGAGAGACTCTCATGATTGGAAAATCCCATCCATAAATCCCCTTGTGGTCTTTCTGCCCCATCCAGGCCAGCTTCCACTTCTGCATCTCCAGCACTGAGGAGTTCACCACCTCCTGGGGCAGATTATTCAGAATGGATGACTTGTAGAAAGTTCTTTCTGGTACCTAACACCTTTTTGCTTCCTCTCTTTGACCTTGGTTCTGGCACATAGGTTTTTGGTCCAGCAGCCATTCACACAATTGAGGAGAGTGCACTGGTCCAGTGGTTCTGGTTTCTCACACCCTGATTGAGCCAGCACGGGCACATCAGCACAAAGTGGAGCAGGATCATTGCCCCTGCAGTGGGACATTAGAGTTTCCCTAACTAGGGAGATATACTTGACACCTTCCCTCCCTCGCCCTCTGTATCCAGACCCTGGTCAAGTTCCATAGGTTTTGACTCTGACCCCCTGTTCTCATGTCATTCTACTCTACCTTTCTCTGTCCTTCTCCACTGCCATCATCTCTTGCCTGCGACACTGCAGTAGTTTCTCCACTACCCTAACCCTGCCTCATAATCTACTTTTCACACTGTGGCCACAGTAATGTAACAATGAAAATATGCTCATGTCACCCACTGCTAAAAATGTTTCTCCTTCAGGCACATCTTGTTCCACACTCCAGCCTCAGCCACGGTGATCACCTTTCAGGACCCCCAACCCCCTCCTCATTCATTCACTGTGCCTGTCCCTTCAGGCTTCAGTTCATTTGTCACTTGCTCAGGGAACCCTCCCTGGTCCCCTTGACAAGGTCAGATCTCTCAGTTACAAGCTCTTCTAGCACCACAGACCTTTCCTTTGTGACATATACCAGAATCTCCAACCTTCCATTCATTTTTGTGATTACTTGACCAGCATCTGCCTCCTCCACTATTCTGTAATGGTTAGCCAATATACTGGCTGGGTACCGGTGGGTGAGGGGTGGGGATGATTTCTAGCATAGGCAGATTCCCGTGGTATAAATACAACCATGGTAGATTTCAAGCTACCAATAATTGTGGTTTGCAAAAGCCCTGACAACTTAATCGGCTCTCATGAAAATATAAGCTGGCTCCAGCATACCGCTGGAGCAGTCCTTATATCTGGTTTTGCACCTTTATGATCAATAAAGTATCTTGAGGATAACCAAAAGGCCATAAAGTTTTGGTGAATGAATGAAGGAGCAATGCTAAAATTTAAATGAACCTTCAGGACAGCAATTGCTAGAAGATGAAAGACTTGGAATACTTGCCCAAGAAAGGAATAAGGGAGTCATGACATTTCTGTTCTCTGAGGACTATTTCGACATTTTTTTAAGAAACATGTCTACATTAGGCATAAATCCAAATGCTTTACAAATATTAATCCATTTAACTCATAACAATTAAAAGGTAGATACTATTAATATTATCATTTTACAAATAAGGAAACTGAGGCTCGGAGTAATCTGCCATGGTGGTGGAGCTGAGTTTTGAACCCAGGAAGTATGACAGCAGAGCCTACATTCCTAACCACTAAGCTGTGTTACATCAGGATCAGCTCTAGAATGAGAAATGACCAATATTCCCCTTGCTCCACCCTGTGGACATGGGTATGTGCTCTTCAGGTCACTGCACCTCAACGAAGAAATAATGAAATGGAAAAGGTTTCGAGAAGAGGCTCCAACATGATGGAGATGTTGGCTCTTCTGGATAAGGGCAGAGTAAACATATTAAAACTTTTCAAGAGATGGACTTTAAATACTTATTTACTAAATTCTAATAATTGGAAATTGACCAGGTCAACTTTCATAAAAGGAAACATTAAAACTTGAGGGAAGAGTTTGGAATATTAGTATATGTACAATGTTCTCTGCATGTGGTCTCACTTCACCTCTAAGATCACCCCAGAAGATGAGAATAATCAGGACAATTTTAATGAACCGAGGACACCTAAGCTCAGAAGTTATGGGATGTATTCAAAGCCACAGAATTACCCATTGGCATAACCAAGCTCAGGTCCCCACCAGAGGATGGCTAGCCTCCACTCTCTCATGCTAGTTTAATGTTACTTCCCAAGCAGGTTTCATAGAATCATAGCTGCTCGGAGGAAGTCAATTCCTGGAGCTAATTATGCTGAGCAGCAGTACAAAGTGAAATGTAATTAGATTCAAAGGAGGTTTACACAGATTCTGGAGTGATAGTCTAATATTGTAATAATAAGAGGTGGGACTGTGTCTCTAACTTTTGATGTAGTTGTTCATTTAACAGACAGACTCCTAGGTACTATGTGCCTACTGTGTACAGCAGGGGCTGTCAAAGTCAAAGTTGAATTCCTTCCTTAGTTGCCCATTCTATTTGCAGCATGGAGGATCAGCCCAAAGGAAATCCAAGTACCAATGTGGAGTTTTAGTATGGGAGAAAAATGACATTAATTTAGAAGGAAAGCCAGGACAATCAGACTTGGGGTAATTATGAAAGCCAGAGTCAGCAATTTGATTTTATCCTGTAGGAAAAGAAGGGCCAATGAAAACTTTTAAGCAAGAGAATGACATCATCATCATCGGAGTAAAAATAAGAGTTACTGTTCACAGAGCACCTACTGTGCTCAAGGCTTTCAGCCCTCACACCCACCACATGAGGTCAGAATATTAACCCCACTTGGCAGAGGAGAGGCCTGAGGCAAGAGATAACAACTCATGAGGGGTAGAGCCTGGATCTGATCCCAAATCTACCTGAATTCAGTTTACTCTCACTCTAACATTGTACAGGATCTTTGCTTTTGAACATACCCTGGACAGCATATGGAGACAGAGTTTTGGGAGCCATCAACATTTAGTTATGTGGCTAAATGAGAAAAACCAAATTTAGGAGGAGAGAAAGTAAGACCTGAGAAGCGGAAGAGAAACTGCAGCTGAGGCAGGCAGTATCAAGAAAATCATGCCAGTGTGAATTTTAAGAAGGGAATAACAGTGCAGAAAGTTACCTAGAGGGTCAGGCAGAGTGGGGATGGACAAGGAACTGTAGGATTTGCCAAATCAAGAGGTTTTCTGGGATTTCACAAACAGCATTTTCAGAGGAGTGGTGGGGGTGGGTGCCAGATTGCTGTGGGCAGAGGAATGAGTGGGAGGTGAAGACAGGGCCTGCAGCATGTAAACTTACTCTTTCAAGAAATATGATAGTGAGAGGGAGGGGATGAAGGGGGCCTGAAAAAGGAAGATGGTGGCAGGAAGGGTTTTCTGGGGGGATAGAGATGGAGAGAGACTTGAGCAGTTGTAAGCCAGAATGAAGGGAGAGGCTGAAGACTAAAGACAAGGAGGCTCTCCCCAGAAGGAAATCCAAGAGATGGGTGGAGAGCACAGTGGGTGGCTTAGCAAGAGCTCACGTGGCTAGACTTCTCCAGGGCTGTGAAATGACACAGGTGGATCTGATTATCTTTGTGGCTCCTTGTAGACCTGACATTCTTTCCTTTTTCTTCTTCCTCCCTGCTGCTCCTCTTCCTTTCCTTCCTTCCTCTTTCTCTTTCACAAATATTCACTGAGCACCTATGTGCTAGGTCTTGTACTAGGCTCTGTGGTTAACATGCAAGACTTTGTATCATCCTTACAATTGAGTGGAGAGACTGACACTAAACAAGAAGATGCAAAAGTATGTATATATGTGTATCATATGTGTGATACACATACAAGTATCGTACACATTGTATGATAGTACTAATAATTGCTAATGTTCATTGAGCACTTCCGATGTACTAAGTACGTTATTAGCATTTCTCATTAACTACACACATCCCATAAGAAAGCCGGCATCGGTAGTCCCTTTTGCAGATCAGGAAACGGAGGCTCAGAGTGGTCAGATGACTTCACATAACTAAGAGAGGTGGAGCATGAGATTCAACTTAGATTTGTCTGCCTCCTGACGGGAGCGCTTGCTTAACTGCCACACTGCCCTGACTCACTGTGTTTAGAGCATCAGGCACCAGGTGGAGCAAAATATGGAGATGTCCCCACCCTCAGGGAGCTCACAGTCCCTGGGCACTGGGAAAAAACCAAGAGTTTATTTACTCCCCTTTTCCTCCAAGTGTGGTTCCTAGACCAGCAGCAGCCACAGCACCTGGGCGCTTGTAAGAATCGCAAAAGCTCCTGCCCAGCCAGACCTTCTAAGTCAGAATCTGTAGTTTAACAAGAGCCGCAAGCGCTTGGTGTGCACATTAAAGTTGGAGAACCCTGGTTTAAAGCTCACTACTCCTATTAGAGGTGAGAAACCGTTTAGAGGTTACAGAGATGGTGGACCTTCGGGGCTTGGTGTCGGCACCCAACCTGGGCCTGAATGGGCGCTTCCACCCTTGTCCTAAGAGGCCAGTGGGTAGGACAACCAACGGGAAGGTCGCGCAAGGTGCTTGGCGCGCTCCAGGCGCTCGAAGGTGCTCGGCGCGCGCAACGCACTAGGCGCGCGCGAGGTCCCCGCAGGCTCCCGGGC